ATCCAGATACAAGAACAATCCAGATACAAGAACAATTCAGCAAAATACAAAGAACAATACACACTATTTCTGGAAAAGACCTGAAAGACTTTATTGAATCAATGGAATTAGAACACCAAGAGCACAATTCTCTCATCCTAAAACAGATATCTTCAAACACAAAGGTAACAATAATTTCGGTTTCTGCGAAATTCACTTCCAAATAAAATTAGATCAGGAATTAAACTTCCATCCCAACTCCCAAGACGCCAACTTTCCATCATTTTCCCACGGATTCTCGGGAACCAAACACAAAAACAACAACAAAAGAATTTTAATTCCAACTGAAAAACAAAAAGGAAAGAGAGAAGAGAAAGAAAGTTGCCTGGGAAGGTTGAGGAATGGAAAGGCGCTTGAAAAGAGGGCGAAGTTCTTGAGAGAGAGAGCGGCGAACGGAGAAAGGAGTGCCGAGCACGGTGCGAGAGAAGAGAGTGAGCGGCAGAGAGAGAGCGCAGAAAAGAGAGAGAACGGAGAGAAGAGAGATGAGTTGATATATGTGATTGGCAAGATGGTCATTTTCTGATTTTATTGGGGGTAAATTTAAGAATAAGAAACTTTCATTAATATTGCTTACCAGATTCCCGGATAAGTTGGAAGCAGAATCAGCCTAAAGGCTGATTCTGCTTTTTAGCTTTAGATTGTTTACAGATTGTTTAAAAATATATTTTCCTACTTTTTATCAAACGGTTTTATCGGTTTTAACTTCAGCTATAAGCGGTTTTCCTTTTTTAGAATCAAATACCAAACTGAGCCATTTATCTAATATTAGAGTGTTCTTATCTTACGCACGAGGAGAAAAAAAAAAAGCCTCGTTCATTTTACATTTTTCCCCTTGAAAGTTTGGTTTCTTTTGGTGTTATTTGTTAATTATACACTTTGCATTTATATTATCATGCCGTGGGACGTAGGATATCTGTTGATTAATTTTACTCAATTATTCACATTAAAAGTGCCATGTGCACCTCACATGCAAATTCTATTTATTTTTTAACTATTGTGCAGCGAAAAGTCTAAAAGTGTAACATTTGTAAACTTCATAGGCTATTAGTGTGACGCTTAAAAGTTTATGGGGCAGAGTGCAACGAGTATTACTCGGGGCCAAAATTAAAATTAGCCTAAAAACATATTGAAGATGGTCGTTCCCTAAAAAAAACAAAAAAAAGATTAATGGGGCAGTCGGAAAAAAAACTATTTATGAGGGTCATTTTTTAAAAAAGGAGAAAAAGAATGTATAATAGGACAAAAATAGGTAACAATAAAAAAATAAGGAGACCGTAAAAAAAGAAAGAATGGTTATATTCACACTCTTTTTTTCTCTTTACACTCATTTTTATTAAAATTTGTTATGCCAAGAAAATTCTCACATAAAATGATAAAAAGAGACATTTATGATAAGACTCAATTGCTTAATTAATTTTACTACAAAAAAATTAATGATATTTTTTTTTCTCTACACACCCCACATATCATATCTCTATAAACCTTTATCATTTTGCAATATATAATAAAATCCTAGTTTATTTTTAATGAGTATTCCAAAACGTCCCATAGAAGTATATATAGTTTTTCTTTTTATTTGGAGTATGTGCTCATTTACATTTTTTTTTGGTTTCGTGTTCATATCTTTTTTGCCAATCATTTTGTTTTTTTAGACCAATCTCTTCATTTTTTTTCTTTTCTAAAGTTAAGTTGACTGCGTTTTTTTCATTCTTTTTTTTTTCTCGTGCTCATGTGCTACTTAACAAGTTTGGCATTTTTTACCATTTTATCTTTTCTAATCATGCGTGTGAATATAAGATGATTATCTGCCCTTTCTTACGAAAAATTATTTTGCCATTTTGTTCAATTGTTTTTTTAAATAACAAATTAAAATAAAATAGTGAGTGTGAATAGAAAAATAAAGTGATCAAAAATTAATCTTTATCAAAATAGGTAATATTAATTTTGAAATAATTGGAGTGCGTAAAAAGTAAATTTAATCATTTAAAAATTATAAAGAGTGTGTAGTTAGAAGAAGGTGTAGAGAGTAAAAAGGGGAAGTTGTGAGTAGAATCACCTAAAAGAAAAAAAGAAGGCAAAAGAAGGAAAGAAAAAAAACCCATAGATGAAAAGCTTTATCCATGTGGGGAAAATCTATTTAGTATATGTAAAGTTTAGATAAGAATATAAATATATAAGTTTTAGTGATTATTTGAATATTTAATCCGTCAATTGGTATTATTATTTTAACCGTAAGATATTAATCAGACGGTTGTAATAAATTAGATAGGTGACAAAAAAATTTATGACAATTAATGAAATTAGATTCTTATCATATTACGTCATTAAAATATTTAATAGTAACTATCGATAAAAACGTAACAATTGAAAACTCGTCCATATATATGAGAAACATTATGATTCACGAAGGCAACAGTCGGAAAGGGGGAAAAAAGAATGTATGGTGAGAATAAAAAGGTAAAGCGAACAAAAAAAGTGTGAAGAAACAAAGAAGGATAAAAAAAGATGTAAATACAAAAAGAAAAGAAAAGGAAAAAGGAAGTAAAGAAAAAAAAAAGGAGAAAAAAGAAGGTAAAGTAAAAAAAAGTGTGAAGAAACAAAGAAGCATAAAAAATGATGTAAATAAGGAATTAGAGGACCCAAAAGAAAAAAAGAAGAAAATAGGGCACATTCATACGAAAATATATAGTAAAATATCACATCTGATAAATATTTAAGTGGAGATGTATTTGTAAAAGAAATAGTTTTATCATATAAGAAAAGAAAGAAAAGTTGAGAATGAACAAAGTGGAAGGATAAAAAATATATATATAAATGAGAAATTAGAGGTAAGAGTTTCTCTAATAGTTCCTATAAAAATGGGACTACTAATATTTCTTACTTTTCAGCTGTTAGATTTGTATTAAAATCTGTTTATTCTGTATATATTTTTCAATCTGATATGATTTTTGACCAGATATAACGGTAAAAAATTAGGACTATTAGTAGAGAAGGACTACCAGAGAATCTCTTAGCTAAAAAATAAAAAATACAAAAAAAAGAAGCAGAAACGGACGAATTTCGCTTCCTCTCCTGTAAAAACGGATCGTTTAAAAAAACCAATCGGTGAGACCCCCAATTTTAATCGTTGGATTAATTTTTCAATGGTCAGATATGCGCAGGTTCGTATTGAAATATTTATACCGCGTCGCACAAAATTATTTCTACTTCAGATCTAATCGTTAAAAAATTAATCTAACGATTTAAAAATTAATCTAACGGTTTAAAGTATGAGTCTCATCAGTGGAATTTTTAAGGGATTTTATCGTAAAGAGCACCATGTTAGAACAGAGGAATACATGTTTCCTCATGGATATACAACATATCTACTTGACTCACTGTTCTCTTTTTAGAACATCATTACATTCCTCTCATTGGTAACAAATTTTTTGGTATACTTGTTAGGTAGTTTCATGAGATTTCTTATGAAAGTTGCATTTTCTAGGAAGCTATTTCAAAAAAATAAAAATAAAAATAAAAAAGAGACCCCTTATTTTTTTTTTTTGTGACAATAAGTTATAAGCCAGTTTTACGTGATTATCTTTGAAGCTTTCTTAGGTGACCATATAGAATTGCCCACATGAAGAGAACAATGTTTCTCTTCAGTATACAGCTCATTGACCGCTAAGATGCAGAAAAATGGTTAAGACAGTACGGAATGGTAAATATTCTCAATTCAGAATTTGGCTTCCATCATATTCATTCTGAATTTTATATATACCAAAAGAAATTAGTCAATGAAGAATTTGTTTGCTTCAACACATATAACTTTTAGTCCAACGTGCAGCTTCAGTCTTCTTAATGCCATAGAAACTAGCTAGACCGAAGCTCTTAACCAAAAACCGTCAGTCAACATAACTCAGCAGCCTCAGCTGTTCAAAGAGCAACGGCAATCACCAGAAGTTGGCTGCACTTCAGTTCATTCAAAAGTCATAAGTGGAGATGTATTTGTAAAAGAAATAGTTTTATCATATAAGAAAAGAAAGAAAAGTTGAGAATGAACAAAGTGGAAGGATAAAAAAAATATATATAAATGAGAAATTAGAGGTAAGAGTTTCTCTAATAGTTCCTATAAAAATGAGACTACTAATATTTCTTACTTTTCAGCTGTCAGATTTGTATTAAAATCTGTCTATTCTGTATATATTTTTCAATCTGATATGATTTTTGACCAGATATAACGGTAAAAAATTAGGACTACTAGTAGAGAAGGACTATCAGAGAATCTCTTAGCTAAAAAATAAAAAATACAAAAAAAAGAAGCAGAAACGGACGAATTTCGCTTCCTCTCCTGTAAAAACGGATCGTTTAAAAAAACCAATCGGTGAGACCCCCAATTTTAATCGTTGGATTAATTTTTCAATGGTCAGATATGCGCAGGTTCGTATTGAAATATTTATACCGCGTCGCACAAAATTATTTCTACTTCAGATCTAATCGTTAAAAAATTAATCTAACGATTTAAAAATTAATCTAACGGTTTAAAGTATGAGTCTCATCAGTGGAATTTTTAAGGGATTTTATCGTAAAGAGCACCATGTTAGAACAGAGGAATACATGTTTCCTCATGGATATACAACATATCTACTTGACTCACTGTTCTCTTTTTAGAACATCATTACATTCCTCTCATTGGTAACAAATTTTTTGGTATACTTGTTAGGTAGTTTCATGAGATTTCTTATGAAAGTTGCATTTTCTAGGAAGCTATTTCAAAAAAAATAAAAATAAAAATAAAAAAGAGACCCCCTTTTTTTTTTTGTGACAATAAGTTATAAGCCAGTTTTACGTGATTATCTTTGAAGCTTTCTTAGGTGACCATATAGAATTGCCCACATGAAGAGAACAATGTTTCTCTTCAGTATACGGCTCATTGACCGCTAAGATGCAGAAAAATGGTTAAGACAGTACGGAATGGTAAATATTCTCAATTCAGAATTTGGCTTCCATCATATTCATTCTGAATTTTATATATACCAAAAGAAATTAGTCAATGAAGAATTTGTTTGCTTCAACACATATAACTTTTAGTCCAACGTGCAGCTTCAGTCTTCTTAATGCCATAGAAACTAGCTAGACCGAAGCTCTTAACCAAGAACCGTCAGTCAACATAACTCAGCAGCCTCAGCTGCTCAAAGAGCAACGGCAATCACCAGAAGTTGGCTGCACTTCAGTTCATTTAAAAGTCATGTTTTCTGCCTCGTGTCGAAGGGAATCGAAGAGTTGAGTAGACAGGTAACGTTCTCCGAAACTTGGAAACACCACCTGAAGAATAAATAAGCAAAATCATCAATAATATACAATTGAATTATCTGACACCTGTCCGGATCATGTCTAAAAAATGGGACTTACAACGATGAGCTTTCCAGCATTTTCGGGCCTCTTTGCCAACTTTATGGCGGCAGCAGTCGCAGCGCCAGAAGAAATGCCAACCTGAAAAGGAGATGCTACCGCAATCAGCTCCATAAGAACATTGATTTCTCCGCAAGTATTCCTTTGGTAACAAAAGATGGAGTGTCACAAATCAATGGCATTGCTTTGAAGTGATTTCAGAAGTCATACCAGCAAACCTTCTTTTAAAGCAATCTGCTTAGCAGTTTCAATAGATTCCTCACCTGATACCTGAAATGTTGCGTAGATAGATCCACAGTTAATGAAAGGAATTCATGCATAAACTACAACCAAATTATAATTTTTCGCAACGAAACAACACTAAAGGTTTGTATACTTGCTCATAAACTGTTACACTTTAGATTTGAAAGAGTTCATACGCAATGAAGTTAATTTGACACCAGCCTGGCGTCTTTAGCATGCATATTTTTCCTCTTTAATCTTACCAATTTTTCGCCCTTGGTGATTGTGATTGCACAAGAATTTTTTGACTCCAATGCCTAGCGAGTACTCATTAGATAAATACCTATACAATAGCTTCAAAACTTACTGCAATAACTTCGTCAAGCAGGCTAACATCCAGAACATTTGGTATAAAACCAGCCCCAATTCCTTGGATCAGATGCTTCCCTATGACATATGCACGTGATGTATGTCTAGTTAGAGAACTTGTGCACATTTTCGCATCAGTCAAAAAAATAATCTGGCTATATTTTCTTCATGGTTGAATCGTATTACTCTGGGAAATCATAGCAAATTTTCACGTATGATTGTTTAAACAAGTACAACTTCTTGGCCAAAAAAGACAGATTCAGTTTTTAATAGAGATAGCTGCTTGAGCTTCAGATGTTATATTGAATACAAGTAAGCTACGCGTATTTTCCATAAATCGCGCAGTAGACAGACCACCCAACGGCCACATTGATGATTAAGGAAAATTAGGACCTCACAAATAATAACTCACCAGGCGGTCCACCATTCAATACTGCACTTTCAACTGGCTCTACACCATACACCTAAACAAACATAAAGAGAGAAAAAAAAAAAGGAAGTTCCAATTAGTCTATTTGAAGATTGCTCCTCTTTCTCTCTCCTCTTTCACAACTTCCTGAAAATCTCAACTAGGCACATTCATACATAAAGTAAACCTTGATATCTGGGTTCTGCTCCTTAAGGAACTTCCCTAC